TTGCACATAAAATGTTTCACAATTTTGGTGTAACATGCTGCGCGCGCACCCTGCGCACCCTGAATTTCCAACACTGGAAATGACTTGAACCAATAGCACGGACAGAATTAGTGTTTCATCACCATACACTCCGTACAATTGTGAATATCTTTCCAAAAAAGCAACACGATTTATTTATAGGCAAGACGTTTATATTAATAATATATAATTAATATACGGCCCCAAAATTTTGGTTCGATCGTAATAGTAAGCTCTAATTTACTTGCATATCAATATCTCAAATACAAGAGAAGCAATTGGGTGGGAGTCTCTTTCGATGAAACCAAGGAATAATTAAATGATAACAAACATCATAATATTAAAAATAACAAAATAACCATATTTATGTGGCTTTCTATGTGTTGACCATTTAGACACCACGTCTTTGAACACAGGGGAAGTTTTAATGGAATCGACAAAAAATGGAGAAAGCCTCAATGCAATCTATTCAATAAACTAAAAGCAATAATAGTTGATTCGACTCTGGGCCCAAAATATGATTCAATAAAAAAATTAGGAGACGAGATTGACTTTAGAAAAAGGAAAAGTTGGAATGATCACAGTACACTATAACAACTTTAATCAAAGCCAAATAAAAAAATATCAGATGCTAGATGTCATTATTTGGGAAAGAAATAATATTAAATTTAAGTGGTGTTATAATCGTGAATCACGTGGTCCTGAAAGATTTGATTATATAGTTCACTTGTTAATAAACGTAAAGCTCTTGAAAAGATTTTTTTATTAAGAAATAAGAATATTTTGGATCTTTCTGTATAGTCACAGTGTTATATAAAAAATTTAGCCCAAAAAAAGAGCTAAATCTATTTATGTTTAAATTAACATATCTAATTTATACAAATCTAATAACAATAACAGATAAAAATTTTTTTTTTAATATATGATTTGCGGTCTTGGTGTTGATGTGATTGGTGGTGATGGTGATGGTGATGACGAATCATCCCAATCTTGGATGAAAATCATAGGAACATCATCCCTATGAATATTATCTGCTCCTAAATCAATTTTTGTTGTTGATGGCTGCGGCGATATAAATCGTAAACTTGTCACATTGAAACTTTCATTATAATTACCATCATTGTCAACGTTACTAATACTATTATTTAAATGAATATTTACAAGTCTATATGCTAAATCATCAGTTAATACTAAGGTTTTTGGATCGGGTACAGGTGGTGATCCTAGTGGTGAAGTCGACCGATTTTTTTCTAATTCTGGTACATTAAGATGATTTTTTGACTTATATGATTCGTCGTCACAAACTGGTGTATGCTATTAATATGATTAACAATAAGAAAAAAATTAAATTTATTAATCAATTAATAATACTTTTTTCTTTTTCTCTGTTTTAAAAACAAAATATTTACCAATCCATAATAAACTCGAACGACATTATTCATAAAAATCATTTTATCGGAATGAATTTTGGCTGTTTTTGCATTTAAAGTTTGAAAATAAATCACCAACATACGATTAAATGATTTGATTGGAATTAATTTGTATATTGTCCCATATTGTTCAAATTTCGCTTTAATTTTCATAAAATTCTCAGCCAAGAATGCTGAACGGTCAAGATTGGTAACGATAAGTGTGTTGGTTACTATAATTTCTGTTGAAGGCATAAGATGTAAAGCAATTGGTGACATATTAAATATAAAGTTTTAATTGAAAGGTTTTAGGTGATAATAATTTTATTTTGCTGAGAAAAAGGAAAAAAAAGATTATATATAGGAAAAATTTCTTTATTTATCATACTGATTCGAGTTCTGTTGAACTTTTCTAAGAAAATCTAAACTTTTCTTTAGAGAAAAATTTATATTAAATTATATTGTTACACGTGCTTTCGATTTGGAAATTGGATGATCTATCCTAACGCGGTGATAATAATAGGTATAAGAAATTCTCTTTTTTAATCAATCGGTGAATTAATAATCAATACAACTCATGCATCCTTTTCCCCCCAAGATAAATAATAAAACTAATTCCATAATAAATTCATTAATATACAATAATATTTTTTACATATAAATAAAAAATTTTTTAAATGAATTTATTGTTCTTATTGATTTATTTGAAAATCTTTAGAAAAATAAATTTTTTCTAAAGTTCCAGGATTTTACTTTCCTCTTTGATTAATGGTCCTATCGGTGGTTGCTGTAATTGTTGTTGCTTTTGTTGATATTCAGCTGTAGATAATAATACTCTATTATTATCGTCGTCGTTGTTGTTGTTGTTGTCACTATTATTAATACTACTAATAGTTCCATTTTTTATTTGTTTTTGTAGAATCAAATTATTCTTTTTAAGATGTAAACGTTCAAGATAAAACAGTTGACGTTGTTTTTCTAATTCCTTTTTTTCATTCTCGATAACACTTTCTAATTCTTCAAACTGTTGAAGTTTAAGTTCAAGTTTTTTTAATTGATTCTCGATAACTTCATTAACAAGTTTTTGTATTTCTTGATCCTCATAATCTGTTAAAACATTGGCCTTTGCTGCTGCCGTTCCAATTGCTGTTGCTCCTGCTCTATCCAACAATCTTGATTGAGTAACTATAGTGTCTATTGTTGTTGTCGTCGTTGTCGTCGTCATTGTTGATAAAATCATATCAGAATTTTGTGATATATCTTGCTTTGTTGGCTCAGTTGCAACTTCTGTATCCATTGAATCTTCATTTTTCACTTTAATATCTGTGTTATTGTCATTATTGTTATTATCTAAATTCTCATTAGTCCGTGTTCTATTGGAATCACCATTATTAGACTCTTTTAGATTACATGATGAGCTTTTAACAGATGATAATTCTTTGATTGCTGATTTAGCTGCTGTTGATGCGATATTAGGGTCGACAATAGATGCCAAGTATGCAACAACTGACAATACCGGATTATCTGCTTGACTAAAAGGTATTCTTTGATACTGGAGCGGCCCCAGATTTTTCATTACGGCTCCATTGAATGGATCCTCAGCAGGAATTTCTAAAAAGTGTAAAATACATTGATCTCTAGTACGTGTACCCACATGTTCAGCAATCTTGAGCCAATCATCCTCATACAATTCGATTCCTTCTAAAAGTGCTAAAGTCTCTTGCTCTGTCCATTCTTCATCTTGAGCATGTTTGAATGGTGTCTCATCCATTTTTAAGAAATCGCCACTATGCATTGGAGTAGGATAATGTCCAGCTAGATAACAATTAGGACATAGATCTAATTTTTGACTTGTCAGACTGTGATAACGAGATCTAGTACAATCAACCTTACATGTGAAACAATTAAATTGCTTTTTTTCACCTATTATCTCATTATTCTTGTTATTACTGTTATTGGTGCTATTATTATTGTTATTGTTATTGTTATTATTGCTATTTTCATTTTCATCATTTTCATTATGTTCAATTGATGTGGTAATGGTATCATTAGCAGTAGTATTATTTGTTTGATATATATTTTGACGAATTCCAAATGACGAATCGATTTTGGGTTTTATAATATTCGTAGCATCAATTGATAATGAGGCTGTACTATTATTGCTGTTGTTGTTATTATTATTACTACTATTATTAAGGTTAGATGAATTTGAATTTGATGGAGTGATAGAAACAGTTGGTTGAAAAGGATGAAGACCTCTTGGTGTATCTGCAGTAATAATAAAATGTCCTGTAAAAGCAGGCCCAACACATGATGGACGTGTATCAGGATCTACCTATTTTTATTATTATTAAAATTAAATAAAATGCATATCATACATTACACACAAAAAATATATGAAAAAATATATATAAATACTTGATAATTTATCAATCCCCATTGTTCAAGAAAAGCATGTATACGAATAATTGCACACACATCACCAATTAAATTCCTACGACAAGCAGTGACTGTTAAATATTCTGGAGGATTGAGTCGATAAGTATTAATTATAAAATCTCTATATTCTTTGTATATACTTGGATTTTTAGATTTATTCCTATTATTGAAAAATTCTGGTAAGGTTTTTTTCTCAATATTATGAATTTTGGCCATATCAAACCAGGCAGAATATGATGGTATGACAATCTCTTGTGCTTGTAAAGATAAAAATTTACGAGCTTCTTCCTCAAGTCTTGTTTTTTCTTCCTCATCAAACATAATGGTTTGTTCTGTGGTGGTGAGTATATTAGCCGTATCAGTTATTATTTCAACTCCAGCATCAGTAGTGGTAGTAATAGTAGTCTTCATTTTTGAATCTTCGATTGTTTCCATTTGTTCGTTTTCTTCTATAAAAACAGTTTTTGTTGTAGTCACCACAGGTGATCCAGAGTTATTTTTTGGTATTATATTATTATTAACAGATTCAATAGGTTCCTGCTCAGACGACATTTCAAAATCCATAATTTTTTTATATTATAAAAAAAACTTCTTTTGTTTAAGATTGTTGATATTAATTGTATAGAAAAAACTATAAATATCACAAACAAAAATTAAGTGACAATTCAGAAAATTCTCGTGTAACAAAATAAAGTCGACTACAGGTATAATTTGAAATTCATTATCAAAAGAATGTTGTATATAAATTAGTTGGCTTACAAGGTGAATTCGTTAATATTAAGCTGAATATTATTTATAGGCGCATTATTCGCACTGCAACAAACATGAGATGTCTGAATTAGACACAAAATAAAAGATAAAAATAAGAATTTTTGTTATTAAAAAATCGCGTAACCATTTTGAAAATTGGGGATATACACTACACAAATCACTTTGTAACACTTAAAATTTCGTTAATAAAATTTTTTTATTCAATTTGATTTTTCTTTAATTTTAAATGTAATAAGTAATCTTGAGATTTTTTTCTTTTATGTTGTAAACTTGCAAAAGATAATTGATATTCCAGAATAATTGGTAACATGTTCCAAAGTGAAAATTCAGGCCAATAACAATTTACAAAATGTATGTAACAGTTCTGATGACACTAATTATAATAATAAGAGAGTGGAAGAAGAAGAATTATTAGCCGATATGATAATAATATATATCATTATAAATTGATAGACATTATTTATTTACCTGCCATAAAAGAAAATCACTTAATCTAATTTCTCCAGATGTACGTATTAATATATCTAAAGGTGGAGATTCATTGGTATATAAACAATGTTCAAATAATTTTTCATCTATATCACTAATTAAAGAGAAATTAGCAAGAAATTGGCAAAAATTTAACAATAATGAAATAAAAATATTAACTTTATTTGAATTTGATCATTTTCAATCATTTTCATAATAATTTTAACTGAATTGGTCATTTCATCTCTTGAAGTATAAGGAAAACATATATTCAAGGTTGCTCTAATAATATAGAGTATCTCATTGTTAGTTAAATTGAATAGATGAATTAATAATATATAAATAAAATCTAAATATAAAATTCAAATAAAATACCTGTCATTATGTTTTGTAGCTTCAACAACTTTTTCCACAAGTTCTTTGATTTCACTAGAAAGATATGATAAATTTCCTAATATTCTTATACAAAATCCATGATCTTTTAATAACTCCCTAAGAAATATTATTATTAAATTTGAGCTACTTAATCAATTAACCTATTCTTTCTTTCTTTCACACCACATACATCAATAAATCCCTTTTACCTTTTCTCACATATTTCAATCATTTTTACTTTTGCTAATTCCATCAATACATCAACTTCATCTTTTGATCGTTTGAAATTCTCTATACTAAATGCATATACAGTTACCACTTTAACTCCAAGTTTTAAACATGTATCTAAAATCTAAAATAAAACAAGCTAAATATATTAACTACATTGCTTTAAATAAATAAAGTGAAACCTTTTCCATTGATTTATTCATTAATTTACTTTAATCAGACTAGAAAACCCTTCATAATGTCCTTCTTTTGCTTGCCATTTCATTTTATTTGCAAATCTGCGATTGCCATCCATAATAAAACCAATATGCTTTGGTATGGGTCCATTACATAAAATACGAATTAAAAGATTTCTCGCCATATCATTTAGATAACTAAAAGGTGAGGTGAAAAAATTTGATGTAATTGGTGGTTTCGAAGGTGGGATTATATCATTATTGTTATTATTATTACACGAAGATTTTATCATTTTGTTCATAAATTTTTTCTCAGCTGAAAATTAACATTATTTATTATCATCATCATGGGTGACATAAATGGGGAATCGAGATCTGCATTTTAAGGGGCTGGTGTTACAGCTACATATGTGCTCGCCCAAATTTCATAATAAATTTACCCAAGCTGATATATATAATTATATAAACATATTGTCTCATAGATTTGCTGAAACGAGGTTTAACTTTATACATTTATTATAAAGCACAAACATTCTTAAAACATGGAATCTTGAATTGTTCTCATTTGAAATTTTTAATCTGTCATAAAATTATTGATGAATAATTCAAGTATGTTATACAATTCATTATAGTTTATTGTTATTTTTACTTTCATAATTATTCAATGGACTGCAAAATCGTGATTTTTATAAAAAAATAATATTAAATTTCGAGTTGGCTCGGGCCAAGTATAAACCGGCTCGTTCAAAACTTTAACTATAATCATTATTACTATTATTGCTGCTACTACAGCTACTGTTATTGTTGCAATTACTATTATTATTACTGCTGTTATTATTATTATACTATTGTTATTGTTACATCTCTCGCCTCCCTCTGGTGGCGATAATAATATTGTCGGAATAGTTGATGATTACGAGGAGGGAGGATAATGATGGTAGAGTGAACGAGAATGACGGAGAGAAGGAATGCGATGATGACGATGACGATGTTGATGTTAATGTTGAGGGGTAGGAGTGTCTGCAATAATAATTAGGTTTTGTATGCTGCACATATATTAAAAAGTATAATAAGGAATTAATTAGTTGGCAATTGTGTGTTTGCACAATTTTTATTAATTGATTGATTACCTTTCACCTTTCATTTTTTATTATTATTAGTGCTAGCGAGCGGTGAAGAAGAAAAGACTATGTGACTCTAAAAAAAAATTTTTTTCAAAAGAATATTATTTTCTTTAATCGTAGGTGTGTGTGTGTGAAGAAAAAGATGCTCGTATTTATAAGATTTCAAAAATTTTTCTGATGAGAATATGGGAATATTTTTTTTTTAATTTAAATTCAATTAACATGTTGATTGATTCACTATTGCATAAAAAACCATATAATGGTGACGTAACAATTCAATCTGGTTACGGGCGAGACAATAATGATGATTTTAATGTACAAAATCAAATTGGCTAAACCTATTTCACACTTTTCTGTTTAGGTTCAAAACGAAAAAAAAATTTTAATTGTTGATGTTAACGGTTAGTGTTAAATGATTTTCAACATACCCAGTTCTGGCTTAATTAATTTATTTATTATCAGTTATTATTTTACTATGTTAACTCAGCAAGTCAACCAATTATCATTCATAAACATCTTTATCATCATATATTAATATGATTTATTTGTATTTATTATTAGACCAACTTTATTAATCAATCACATCCAATTTTAATATGGTACGGAAAATTTTCTAATTTAGCAGTTATAATTTCAGATCATGATCATCGGCCGTTATAGAGTTATATAAACATATACACCGCTCACAAGATGTTTGCAAAGAACACATCTGGAAACCTAGATGTGATAAACTCATAGAAAAAGAGAAAGAGATTTTGATAGAGACAGATATCGAGAGAAAGACAGGGACAGGGATAGGGATAGGGACAGGGACAGGAACAGGGATAGGGATAGGGATCGTGACCGTGATAGAAGTCACAGGCGGAGAGAAAGAGAGAGAGAACGTAGCCAAGAAAGAAGTAGAAGAGATAGAGATGATAGAGATGATAGAGATCGTAGGCGACACCATTCAAGGAGAAGTCATAGTTATAGCCCAAAACATCGATCTAGATCTCGATCAGTAACTCCTATTAATAGAAGAAGAAGGAAGTTAAACAATTGGGATGTGGCACCACCAGGATATGAAGGAATGACAGCAGAGCAGGTTAAAGCCACAGGTCTGAATTTTTATTATTGTTATTATTTTTTTAAAAAAAAAAAGGATTTCTTAATTCTTAAATATAAATGAATCAGGATTTTTTCCACTTCCTGGACAACCTGCCACTACAAGACCATCAGCAGTCCCAAATTCTCCAATAATATCTGGAATGGATCCATCAAGGGCAGCAATGATATTGGGTATGACACATGAGCTTCCACCACAGTCTAAAGTTAGTCAAGGAGCAGCAGGTCCAGTTGCACAGACTGCATCATTAGCAAGACAGGCTAGACGACTTTATGTTGGTAATATTCCATATGGTATTGATGAGGTAATTTTTTTTTTAATAAATTCTTTTAAACTTCTGGAGTTATTGTTAATATTACTATCATTGATACAATAGAATGGCTTATCAGAATTTTTCAACACTACAATGCTTCAATTGAATATTACTACTGCATCTAGCAATCCAGTTACAGCTGTTCAAATCAATCATGATAAAAACTATGCATTTGTTGAAGTAAGCCATTATTCCCATTTTAAATAAATAAATATTAATAACTATGATTATTGATATTAAATTATTTTATTCATTATTGTTATATAAATTCTTTTTGATAGTTTCATGCACCTGAAGAAGCTACAGCTGCAATGGCATTTGATGGAATTACATTTCAAGGTCAATCATTAAAGATTCGTCGGCCAAAAGATTATCAACCTCCACCTGGGCAAAATCTAGAGCCACCACCAATACATGTGCCAGGAGTTGTATCTACAAATGTACCAGATAGCCCGAATAAAATCTTTATTGGTGGTCTACCAACCTATTTAAATGATGAACAAGTTATGGAACTTTTAAAATCTTTTGGAGAATTGAGAGCTTTCAATTTAGTTAAAGATACTTTATCATGTGTCTCTAAGGTTTGAAAAACAATAAAATAAATATGTTATATGTGTATTGATTTATTTAATTTTACTTATATTTTTGGGAATTTATTTAGGGATTTGCATTTTGTGAATATGTTGATCCAAGTGTGACAGATTTAGCTTGTCAAGGTTTAAATAATATGGAGCTTAGTGATCGTAAATTAGTAGTTCAGAGAGCTAGTATTGGATCAGCTAAGAACTTGGGTGTTGCAATGGTTCTACCATCTTCAGTTCTTATTCCAGCTGGAAATGGAGAAATGCAGCCAACTACTGTTCTTCAACTTCTTAATATGGTTACTCCTGAGGAATTAGTAGATGATGAAGAATATGAAGGTTGTTTTATTACTATTACTATTATATTTCATTAAATATCTGCTTTTCATTTATTCTTAATAATCAAACAAAACTATGATTATAATAATTTAAAATAGATATAGTTGAGGATGTTAGAGAAGAATGTTCTAAGTTTGGTTCTATCATTGATATGAAAATTCCTAGGCCAGGCCAATCAACTACTGGTGTTGGCAAGGTATATTGATATTATACATATTGATGTTATTTATTTTAATAAATTCTAATAATAGTTGCATTTATTAAAGATTTTTGTAAGGTTTGATTCTGCAGAGGCAGCTGGTATAGCACTTCGAGCACTTGCAGGAAGAAAGTTTGCTGAACGTACAGTTCTTACATCATATTTTAGTGAAGAGCAATATTTTGCAGAAGACTTTTAATTATTATTTTTTTCCTTATATATTTATATTATCTGTCAATTACTTAATTTAGATTTAAAAATAAAATATGTTATAAATTAAGAGTATAGTCACGTGATTTTGTATAATAATACTAGGACCAGTTGATGGAGTCCTAACCATCTTATTATAATAATAAGTGATGATCATCGCGTTTAACAAATATATTTTCGAAAAGAATTTGTTGTCATATATTTATTACACGCATGATACGAAACGAATATATATAAAAAAATTAAAGAATATGCGCGAACGAACAAAAAAGAGTTGAAGCCAACGAATACGGCGAATAATCAGTTTTAAAGGAAAACTTTAACTTTATTCCCTCCGGCTTTGATTCGTGAGGAAAGAGACAATAGTCTTTCTAACCGAAGAAGACCGAAAGTCATTAAAGGATTTACAGGGAACGAAATTTCTTATTCAGTCAATTTTTGTTTGAATATGTGAAAAAATGAAGTTTAAACGCAAATTTGATAATACTGTACACTCTCTCTATAACGGCCTTTTCTATAACGGTTTACACTTTATAACGAACTGAGAATTGAATCCCAATTTTTTACTATGTATATAAAAACTCTACTCTATAACGGTCAATGTATAGCTCTTGTGTATATATATGTTTATATAACTCTATTTTTGTGTAACAAATATATAGTTGCGAGAGAATTTTATTAAAGATTTTATAAGATATTATAGTGCAAGACCTAGTACCACAACTTTTTATTGGCCTTGTAGATCCTTCTCTAACTCCAAAAATGGAAATGTAACACCAAAAAAATAAGCCGTA